TTCTTATTCTTATTCTTTTTTTTTTATTATTACTTTTGTCATCATTATAATTGATGTTCTTTTCATAATCAACAACACAATTTGTTTTATTTCATTACTTCATCCTCTAGAAATAAGCAGAGTATGCAATCAAGTACATAGCAAACTAATAAGGATGAATTCCTTTTCCTGTACATACATGCACACTTCTATACGGTTCTAATCAGTAACATATATAACACGATGTTAATGAATACCTTTAGTTGACAAGGCCATGGGATTCCGTCTCGTAAAACTTTTTAAATTAATCACAGTTGATGTGTAAACTACCGCTGAAACAGCCAATAAGGTAATTTCTTTTTTTTTCCTTTTTTCTTTTTTTTTTTATACACCGTAGTTGAAACCGAGCCAGTTGTGTATGTGTACCCTCTTCCTGTCTATTAGTAATTTTGATTAAATGTGAAGATATGCGGGTAAGGAACGTATTTGAGTATAATCAATCATCGTTGAGGGTCTAGGCGGTGGGAAAATGATTTTTTTTTTTTTTTTTTTTTTTTGAGAGAGAGAGGGTAGGGGCGTGTCGAGGAGTGTGTGCAGGCAGGGGGAGGGGGGAGGGGGGGATGGGGAGGCACTTACCCCTAACGATCATGCGAGGAAAAAGGGAAGGGAAACGAGGTGAAGAGGAGGGAAAGGATGAAGAGAGGCAGGAGTGAAGGGGGGTGGAGGGAAGAAAGGAAATAGAGGAAGTGGGAGGGAGGCAGAGGAGAAAACGGGAGAGAGGAGAGAGGAGGGCAAAAAGGGCGGAAAAAAGAGGAAAAACAGAGTAAGGAGAGAGGAAGAGGGGAAAATTGGGAGAGAAGAGGGAAAGAAAAGAAGAACAGTAGAGGGGAATGGAGAACAGAAAGGAAGATTGGAAATGGAAAGGGAAAGAGAAGGAAAGAGGGAGAGGGTGGGGGAGGAAAAGTTTAAAGCTTATAAACCTATTTTAAGCATGGAAAGAGAGAGAAAGGGGGAGGGTAGAGATAGATAAATAGGTAGAGAGACAAAGGCAGGCAGAGTTGGGAGGGGGGTGGAGTCACATGCCCCTAGCTCTCTTTCGGCTGAAATCTTTTTATTCAGCTAATATGGGAAGAAATTTAAGGCCTTTTAAATCCCATTAGGAATAAACATTTAGTAACTTCCTAAGCTTGGTATTTTGTTGATGTTCTTTATTGCTATTTTGTTTTCCTTTGAGTATTATTCTAGGCGTTATATCTGGTTTATACAATTTTTCAAAGATTCAGTGTACGTTGTAGATAAATATTTCTGCGGTATGTGTTCTCTCTCTCTCTCTCTCTCTCTCTCTCTCTCTCTCTTTCTCTCCCCTTATATTTAGGTTTCGTATTATTATACTAATATATCAACATTGGCGCATGGCATTAGTAAATCATAGCTTCAGTACACGCTGTAAATATATATATATATATATATATATATATATATATATATATATATATATATATATATATATATTTCTGCGGTATGTTTCTCTCTCTCTCTCTCCTCTCTGTCTCTCTCTCTCTCTCCTTCTCTCTGTCTGTCTCTCTCTCTCTCTCTCTCTCTTTCTCTCTCTCTCTCTCTCCCTCTCCTCATATTTAGGTTTCGTATTATTGCACTAATATATCAACACTAGTGCATGTCATTAATAAATCCTTGGTGACTCAATCAGCCTAAGAAAAAAAATGCGTGTCATATAATCTTGCCAAAGACATTTATTAACGCAACAGCTTATGCCTCTTGCCTCTCAGCTCTTGATAAAGATGGGGAGAGCATCGACCGACACTGACCTGAATTTAATAAACTATTATTTGTCTAAATTTCTCTCCCTCCCTTTCCCTCATGCTCAGCGTGTCTAAGTTTGTGTATATGAATAGTATATATCTTTATGAATTACAATTTTTTTTTTTTTTTCGTGTTCATATGAGGGTAGGAAAGCTCCATTAGGTACAATAGAGGTTTGTCAAAGGATGATACGTTTCGAAAACCTTCTGGATTTCATCTTCATGTTTATAGTATATAGCGTTGTTGGTGTGGCCCTCTGGGTATGTCTGGAGAGATTGCTGGAGGAACAGGAATAGCGCGTCTGTCTGCATGCACGCACACACACATACACACACGCATACACACACGCACACAAACGTACACACACGTACACACACACACACATGTATATATATATATATATATATACATATATATATATATGTATATATATATATATGTATGTATGTATATATTATATTATATACATGTAGATAGATAGACAGATGAAGAGATAAAGAGATGGAGGGACATATACACACACACACACACACACACACACACATATATATTTATATATATATGGGGGGAGGGAGAAAGAATGAGGGGATTATGGCTTTTGGGTGCTGGTTGGTGGCAGCGAGAAAAGTGTTACAG